TCTCTTCTTTCCCCAGCTATGGAAAAAATAGCAGGACAGACTGGGTCTTATAGCCTTGGGTGGCAACCAGTCTAGGAGAAAGACAAACTCAATTCAAAACAGCTTGGTGAGGATTGGGATCTGTCAGGATTTCTTGCCCAAGAAACACCACTGTCGCAGCAGTATTTTTGGCAGCCATATGACCTTACAGGTCTTGTGATCATGAGGCTTTGATACTATTATTGATATCAGGAAACTGTTGGTGGAGTCTTCTATATTTAAGAAAGGACTACTCTCTCTAGGGTTTTGTATTGTCTGTGGTTGAAGACATTTACAAGTGGGGTGGTGAAATATATGCTTTGTAGATAACAGGAGGCTGCTGTATGACTGCTAATTGAATAACTGAAGAAGAATATATCAGCTAAAATATTTCAAAACTTCAGATTAAACTTGAAAGCCCAGAGTCGACGTGTACTATCCCTCCAAACTGGGGGCAGCCCACTTGGGGTAGTGCTTTTTGATTCTTGTTATCTTACTGGCATTTGCTTTTTACTACCTACATTTATATACATTACAAATTAAACTATGCACAACAGAATATTAAAGAATGAAAAATATTTGCAGATTTTGACATCATTCTCGACTTTTTTTTTTTTGTCCATATCCGAGAATTTGTTTTGCTTATTTTTTTTTTTAAGCATTTCACCCCTAGCAAGGTGGGAAGCCACTAGCACGCAAGGGGTTATAGAGGATTTGGAGCGAGTTGCAGGTAGGAATGATAGAGGAAAGGATGGGGAGAAGGATAGTGGATAGATCAAGGCAACTGGAGATGTTGATTGACATTACATTTGAATAGTTGGAGATTATAGCTAATAGGGAAACAGGAATAGAGAAGGGAGTTCCACAGGCGAGAGGTGCGAGATATGAAGCTATTGGAGCAGAAGAGGCAGCTACATTTAACAGTGCTAAGTTATGGAAATATGCTATAAAAAAAAATCATTATTTCCCCCCCCCCATAATGTTGAATGCGTTAAATTCAACTTTTGTAACAAGAAAAATCTCAGGTCGATGTTTTTTTAAAAACTGCTGCAAAACATTGATTATTTAAGGGGGAATTATCTATTTATGACAGGTGTTTTTAGATACAATGTATTTATTTTCAATTTTACTAATTGAATTGTTCACATATATTGCATAGGATCCATTCTTGTTATGTAGTGGTTTCACAGTGGAGGCTTGTATTTGTACTAAGTCGGTCCTAAAATAGGTTCGACGTACAAAACGTTAGGAACTTGATATAATAGGTAATGACGCAACAATCTAGTTGTGGTGGCTGATACTTTAATATCCGACTAACAGTCGTCCGACATTGACTGACCAGCTCACTGAGCGACTCACTGCCGACTGCCTTGTTACACTTACTACTCCTACTTATTATAGGTGGGAGAGTCTATTAACTATAGAATAGGTGTGTTCCACCATAACAATTATACATAATTAGGTTACAATAAAATTTTTATTTTATAATGAATACTACCCCATAGAAGCTGAGATGGAGAAAAGTGGAGGTGGGGGGGTGCATACCATTGATTTGGCAAGATACAGAGCTGGCACATATATTAACCCTGAGCCCACCGACTGAGAGGCCAAACTCTGATTGGGTGCCCGGGGAGTGCTTGGTGACCATAACTATCTTATCAACATCTGCTTTTTTCTTCTTACATTTATATTTTATAAATTAAAAATAAGCACATCCGGCTTTAAAAAGTGGAAAATGTGTTAAAATTATCCAACTATTTAATCAGAAAAAATCTCAAGTTGATGTTAAAAAAAATTGCCGCAAAATGTTGTTGATTTCTTTAAGATGGAATGATCTATTTATGACGGGTCTCTAATTTGACTTTCTTTAAGTTTTATTTATTTTCAATTTTTCTAGTTGAATTGTTCCCCTATATTGTATAGGATCCATTGTTGTTCCCCTATATTGCATATGAACCATTATTGTACATAATTAAGTCAGAATAAAATTTGTATTTTATATGAATACTACCTCATGAAAATTGAGATGTAGTAGAGTGGCAGCCTTGTATCATATATGGAGGTGGTGGGGAAGGCATGAGACCTTTGACCTGGCCTTGTGGAAACCATTTGATCCAAGTGTTTATTTTTTTTTTTTTAAATCCATGATGGCCGCTTAGACTGCAAGAAAACATGGTGACTTGACTGACAATAACAAAACAAACAAACAATAAACGTTGAATTTAATTTTAAGAGTAGAATTTTTTTTTTCTTTACAATTTTTGTCTTATTTTTATCAAAACCATTTTTTTTTTTGTTTTTGTTCTTTTGAAAAGGAGGGTGCTGAAAAGTTCTTAGTCTGATGATCAATTTTTTTGCACCTCCTTGTACAATCATTTTTTTTTTTTGTTTTTTGAGCCTTAGAAGTGTCATTCAGGGTGGAAAAATGGGTTGGGAAAGGTGGTTCTGGGTAACTTAGTAATTTGTTAAAAAAAACAAAAGAAAGAGAAAAATATTTCTAGGTTTCTACAGAAACACAACTCTCTGAGAAATAATCAGTTATTAAAAATGTTATTTTCATATTCTTACTGAACAAGCACTCTGGATCACAAACATAAAAAAAAAACAAAAAAAAACAAAAACAAAAAAAGACAAAAACAAAAAACTATTTTCTTTTTTAAATTTTAAGAGGGGTGTTCAATTTGCTTTGTACAGTCATTATAAATTGATCCCCACCCACAAATATATATATATATATATTATAAATTTTTACTTATGGACAAAAACAGTTACTCATGTCAAAATCGATTTTGGTATTTTTTTGAAGAATTTGTTGTTATTGTTTTTGTTCGTATGTAAAAATTTATAATAAATAATTATTGCTCTACGCTTGGTATTGAGCCCTCTTTTGAATTAATGCTTTGAACGTTAGAATTTATATTATTTTCGTTCTCATTACATATTTGTGTGCGTGTGTATATATATATATATATATATATATATATATATATGTTAAGAAATGGACGAGGTCCGACAATTTATTTATTAAAGACATTTTTATTTATGTTTTAACGTTTTATTTATTAATAGATACCTGAATGTTAAGAAAATGATCCTGTTTATGAACGAATATTTAAATGAAAATTTTCGGACATTCAATGTCGGTAAATGTTATTTAATACTGTTTATCATAAACAGAATATTTGCTTAAATACTTGTATCTATAAAATAACAACGTTAAACATAAATAAAATTTATCATTCTTATTATATATATATATATATATATATATATATATATACATACAGGGTGTCTCAAAATAACGTATACACTCTTTAAATATCAATAGTTAATAATATATTAGCATGATGTGAGAACTTATATGGATGAAAATATGCAAAACAGATGGATTGGAAAAAGAGGGACAATTGAATACCCACCTAGATCACCAGATTTGACACCCTTGGATTTCTTTTTGTGGGGGTTTCTAAAAGAGAACGCTTGCAGCAGGAAACCTGAAACAATTGCTGAAATAAGAGTAGCAATTGAAGAGGAATGTGCTCAAATATCAGAGGAAATGATACTAGACGTTTGTAGGTCTATTTCTTCAAGATATGAAAAATGTATTGAACAGAACGGCAACCAGTTTGAGCACTTGATGCGAATTCATCATTATATGAACATTCTGCCATAGACCCAGATAGCTTTTATTTTACTAAAGTTAATTTTCTTTTTTTTCTCAAATTCTTTAAATATGTATTCTTTCTCTTGTATTAATCTTATAGTCAAAATACATAAATTGAATAAGTTATAACGATTCTAAGAGTGTATACATTATTTTGAGACACCATATATATATATCTCATGATGTGATAAAACATTTTACTTACCTTACAAAATTCAAATAAGTTCAAGTTAAAATTAAAAAAAAAATATTTACATTATTTAAAGCATATACTTTTCCCTTAACTTTTATTTTTTTTCTTGTTTGCGCAAGGGGATCAATTTACAGTTAATTTACATAACAAACTGAACCCCCACTTCTTAAAATTAAAAACATATTTTGAAATAGAGTGTGTCATCTACAGGAATACGAAAAAAAAGTTTTTGAAAAATATGGTTATTTCTTACAGAGGTGTGCTTCCATAGAAACGCCAAAAATTCAAAAGTTGTTTTTTACATCCCCCCCAACTCCAAATGTTGTTTATCTCCTTTTCTTCAATTTTTTTTTCTTCTTTTTGTCTAAGTATGGTGCAAACAGGGAGGCAGCTACGTCAAAGTACAATGTTCAGGTCTTGACGTCAAAAAATTTGTCAAATTGTCAATTTTTTGGAAAACAAACTTGCTTTTTCATTTTCTTTCTGAATTCAATTTTGAATACATCGATGACATCTTAAAAGCAATAAACCAATAAGCAACAAACTTTGGGCTTACCCAGATATGTTCTGCATGCTGATATGGGGTGTTGACATTGTTAGACATCTTGGATGATTAAAATAAAAAAAAAAAATACTGTGGCCATCTTGGTTGTTAACATTGGCAGCCATCTTGGATGCAAATGCTAGTAATCATCTTGGTTGTCGACCATAAATGCAAAGTAAAGTAAGCCACCTTGGGTGTATATATTAGTTGCTGATGTTAACGACGACAGTTAACTTTGATGCTGCAGTTATTAACTTCACTGAGTGTTGACAATGGTAGCCATTTTGAATATAAATAAGCAACCATTTGGGAGGTTAGATCTCTGAGGAGTGTTGGAAGTTGTCTGCCATTTTGGATGTTAACATCAGCAACCATTCTGGATGTTGCTTGGATTCAGCGGTTGTTAGCCATATTAAATATGCAGGTCATCTGTTGTGGACTGTGAAAATAGTCGAGTTGACAAATGTCTGTATTGGCTTCGGTCGGACATTTTGGAAGCATTATATATCAGCTGACAATTATCGGCCATATTAGACGTCAGACAAAAACCGTGTCTAATATTTTTGTATAGTTCGCGGTCATTATTTACAGACTGTCCAACAAAAAGAGCAAGTTGACTGCTGAGCATGACGGACATAATGACAATTTAGTGTCCATTTTCTAGGAGAGCAGCTGCTTTTTATTTTGACCTTGGTGATTTTCCTGATCTATTTTAAAATTAAAACATTGTTAAAAAAAAAAAACAAAAGAAGACAACAAAAAGGTGTGGAATCCAAAAACAAAAAAATTTTATCATTTACATACGTTCTGATTAAGTGAAAAAAAAAAATTGAAGGCAGACAGATTTAATAAATCAACTGTACTTGAAAAAAAAAAAAAAATTATGGAAAGAATAAACCTAATTGGGCAATATTTAATCTTTATGACCCCACCTCCCCGTCAAAATCTGCTCTATCAAAAGGACAGTTATTCACTTGACACCACTATTACTGTATACCCTCTTGACTCCCTCGGCAATATTTTTCATTTAAAAAAAAAAAAAAAAAAAACAATACCATGATTAGAATTTTAATAAAAATCCTAAGAAAATGAATTTGTACATTTTTCTTATTCTCGAGAATTCACAAAAAAGATATTAAACACTATTTATTTATTAGATTGCTTATTGACAAGAATAATTTTATATTTACAGGATTTGAAAATAACGAATTATTTATTTACACTATTTACATTGTTCGGACTGTTGTCCTCATCTTCATTGCCATTTTCACGATATTTCAGCTGTTGTACGCTCCAGCTTTCTTCAAGTGACTGGAATATCGAACTGAACCCTTTAGATTATTCTAGTTCCATGCCTCAATATCAGTTATCTCCCTTTAACTCTGCAAATTTTAGCCAGGTATTGAACTCACAACACTTTGAGTCAAGTCTCTGGATTCAATCAATACTTTTAGCCACCGAGCCTTGGGGACAACAGTCCAAACAATATAAATAGTGTAAATAATTACAATACCTGATTTATTTATTAATCTGGATAATTATCTATTTCTCTCTCTCTCTCTCTCTCTATATATATATATATATTTATTTATTTATTTATTATAATTTTATCATAGAGAAAAAATCATTTTACTCACTACGAAGATGCAACTTCATTTCAACTGCACTTCGACAGGTGAGAATTGAAAATGGTTATCAACAATCCTGATTGTAGGCAAGCTGTATATGAAATGTTACTTCCTTTTTTCCATTTGTTTGAGAAGTGACGGAGTGAAACAGTAGTGCTTGTTGATAGCAGTTTGGTGAAGAATGGATTGGGTGTTTAATGTTGACTGGTCTGAGGGAATTGTTTTTGCCGATAAACACCGGTCAAAAGTTTAGGCACATCATCTCACGAGCGTCCTAAGAGTGAGAGGTAGGGGAGGAAAGATGAAGATAGGGGATAGTATTACTTTTAAGTAGGTAGAAATTGTAGTGATACTTCTAGTAGTAATTGGGAATGTTATTTTGGTTTACTATAAAAATTCTAGAGCTGAATTGCATGTATTTATGTTGGGGTTATCACTACTAATTCTGTAATCAATGAACGTGTTTTGTGGATTAAAATTTAGAAGTTGTGATTTCCTTTAAAAAAAAATAAGGGATACTAATATAACCTTTTATAATCAAATTTTGACCTATTCCTGGATCGTATAGCGTGTAGAATAAGTATGGGTGTAAAACGATTTATCTGAAAATATTACCAGTAATATATATGAAAAAAAAAAAAATTTTTTAAGAATCATAATTTAATTAGCGGAGAGGTACATCAGAGGGGATGGAATATATCAAAGGACGTGATTTATAATTTAAAAAAATGGCTATAGATGGAGTTCTCCAGTCACTTACGTGTTTATCTAAAAATAAATACGTCTAATTTCACCTTTATCCCTGCCATGCGTCAATGGCTTAGGGGTAGAGTCTGACTGATACCAAATCAGATGTCTAGCCACACTAAACAGTCTGTTGCTGACTACATATATATATATATATATATATATATATATATATATATATACACTAAAAAATACTCCAAATCAGGTCCTACCCACATTTCTCACCCACACAAGACAGACATGCTTGCAGAGGTGTTGAGGCCTCACACTTATACACACATCCACATGAATATACACACTTATACACATCATACTCACTCACTCCCTAAGAACCAAATAATACACACACACTTAACAGAGACATATCCCCTTTCCAGGAACCAATAAAACTGTCAAAATGACCAAGGGAATTCAGAGCAGCATGAATCCATCCAGCCTTTATCTTAAATAACAACTTAAAAGAGACTGTTTGACCAACACAAGGACTGACCTAAATTCATGATAAAAAAATTTAAAAAAAACAAATGAAAACTACAGATAAAGTTCATTTTCTCCATTAAGACATTCATTTCTGTAGTTTACTGCTACCAGCAAGCAGAAAATTATTTTTCTCCTGATGATGGACATGTTGGCCGAAACTAGTTGAGGAATCTAATTGAAATAATAAAAAACGAAAGAATATTAATATACAACCCAGTGTCCAAAGATTTTAATTTTTTAATGTTTTTCATTGTTCAAAATATATATATATATATATATATATATATATATATATGAATGAATAAAAATGACAATAGGAAAACTGGTAATTGCTGATGCGTTTCGTCCAATGTGGACTTTATCAAAGCAAAATACGAAAATGAAATTAATTGAATAAAGTAACTAATAAAAACAAAAACAGAATGTACCTAGCAACTGGAATGTAGAGAAACGCTATTTTCATATTTTTTAAATGAAAAATAACATCAGTATTTGTCACGTGTGGAGAATATCGTCATTATATCTGTGTTGATGTATTCAACCATTTTCTTTTGATTTTATGAATCTGTTGTGTATATTTGTTTGTAAGAGCAGTAATTTTGTTAAGAAAGGTGAAATGGGGAAAAAAACCTGGGCGTAGATTTATATTTGGGTAATTTTCTATGGCGGCACTCTCCAGAATTTTCCTTCTGAGGGAGTTATTTTCTTTTTTTTATGAGTGTAGCATTTTTAAAATCAAAATTATGGTTGAATTTATTTCTATGTATGACTAGTGCATAATTCCCCAATTACTGACGTTATTTTTCAGTTAAAAATATGAAAATAGCGTTTCTCTACATTCCAGTTGCTAGGTACATTCTGTTTTTGTTTTTATTAGTTACTTTATTCAATTAATTTCATTTTCGTATTTTGCTTTGATAAAGTCCACATTGGATGAAACGCGTCAGCAATTACCAGTTTTCCTATTGTCATTTTTATTCATAAATATAGTCTTCTCTGCTGGTTAAATCAGAGAAATTTTCATATATATATATAACATTATTTTTAGTGGATACTTATATTTGAGTAGAGACTCTGCTTATGTATTGAACAGTATTATAAATATATAGTTAAATAAATACACTGAGTAGCTACTAATATATGGGTATCCACTAAAATAACGTTTAAAGTGAAAAAATTTACAAGATTGTAAAAATATGTGAACTTGAAATATTTATTATTTACCATTTTAGTGTGGTTTGTTTTCTTTTATGGCATGTCAAAACCCCAATGCGTTATTTAATGCCGACAAGATTTTTATTGCTGGTAATATTTTTAAAAAAAATGTATTGCTGGTAATAATTTTTTCTTCAAAAATGTATTGCTAGTATTAAAATCTATTTTTACACATTTCAACCCCAGTTTGAGTGTTAAGTATTTCTCCATAGCTGGGACCCTAACAGGTGCTACCACCCCAGGTCAAGGTGGACCTGGGAACACTAGCAATTAAGAGGTGGTTCCATGCTCCTCAAAACCTCCTTATCAGAGGCCTTGCTGTTGGATGTAGTTTATCGTCATACCCAGAACAATTTACCATTTTATAAAGAAATATATATGAAAACATTTTTTATTCGGAAATTTATAAAAATATCTGGACAAGAACATTTACCTAAACACGTAACAAGTAACTAATTGAAAATTTTGAAAAAAATACATTATCTGAGCATTTATTTGCTCTTGGAAATAAATTCCCTAAAATAGGTTAAGAGCATCTCTTTCTTTTAAATGTTCTGATAATTTTATAAATTTTTTAAAGTTTTTTTTTAATAAGAAGTTTCTCTTCAAATTTATTTCTTTATAAAATGGTAAATAATAAATATCGAATTGTACTTGGTTCATATATTTTTATAATCTTGTAAATAAATATTGCCAAGGGAGTCAAAAGTATTTACGGTTGTAGTGGCGTCAAGGGAATAACTGTCCTTTTGACACACACACTATTTTTTTTTTTTTTCTGTAAGTATGAAGGTTAAACAATGCCATTAATTGACCATTCCAAATTAGTGGATCTTCCTGTCCAGGGCTCCAGTCTGACATTTTTTGCCATCATCCTGGAACCGTCCCAAAAAACGAATTTAATCATCATGTAAATAAAATGTCAAAATAACTCAAAATGTCCCTTTTTTTTTTTTTTTTTTTTTCCAAAGATGGTGATATCATTTATAATTCTTAATAGTGATGACGGATTATTTTATTAATCTGACAGATTTCTATCACTTTAAATGTTATTTTTAGTGGATATACTTATTTGAGTAGGTGTTCTGCTTATTTACAGTATAGTAATTTATTTTCACTCTGAGAAATGCAGGTTCGATTCATACTTGGGAGAGTGGAAATTTTTCTTCAATAGGATTTTTTTTAACGTTCAAGTTCACTAAACGAAAATAAATCTACTATTTAATGAATAAATGGAGTACCTACTCAGTTATGAGTTTCATGCTAAATGCAATCGTCAGGCCATGTGTGTTATGTTTTTGCTTGATTTTTATATATACAGGTCAGTGATGCATTGTGGGTAGTCATATTATTTTAACGGTTATTTTAGTGGGCCTGATATTTTAAAAAAATATAAACTGAATTAAACTTCATTATTTTTGAGCAAAAGTTCAAATTATGATACAGTAAATCAATTTTTGCAAAAAGTCATAACACACAGATATATATATATATATATATGCTCACAGAGATCTGATAGAACTCTCTAGAGAAAAAAAAAAAAAACAAAAAAAAAATGTGGCTGCTGCTGCTATAAATGCATTGCTCTTCAAGTACGAATTGAGTTCTCTTAGCCATTGGTGTATTTTGGTGTACAG